GAGCCCGATGCGGGACTCGATCCAGGGACTCCAGGATCATGACCTGAGCCGAAGGCAGTCGCTTAACCAACTGAGCCACCCAGGCGCCCCAGAGCAGGATTTTGTAGAATATTGTCCAAAGTCCATTAGAGAGATTGCCAAGATTTTTTTTTAAATCATAAATTATGACTTGCGTCCCATAACTATGCATGTTTCTCATATTTCTCTTTTGCTGTTTTCTCAAGTAGAAGATTTGAGCTAATGAATGTAATCGAGTGAGAAAGACTGGAGATGGAAAACCAAAGACTAATACTTGTATGGTTGTAAGGTTAAAGGTGGTTCTTTAAAACTTTCAGATAGTAAAAATATCTAATTGGATATATGTTAATGATATGCAGATGAATAGTGCTTTTGGGAAAATTTTGGTGGGACTTCACCAGACCCAAGAGATAAGTGGCAGCTGTGAAAATCGTGGTACACAGCAGCCTGGGCTTTAGGACTCTGTTTATAAGTCTGGTTCATTTTAAGTGGGCACGTTGCTTTGAGGGTAGGGGTGGAGGATGGGAACTGTTTTGGTCTTCAGTCTTTCACTGGTTAATTACATGCCAGGCACTGTGGGACATGTCTTTCAGGGTATCCCAGGAGTGAACTTACCTCTTCGAAGCTCTTTGTCCTCTAATGTGAAAAAAGCAGAGCATGTGTATTAGCACTATTCAAAGCTATCATTAAAAAAAAAAGATGGCTTAGGAAAGCAATGACCCTTGTATTCTGTTTTCTTTTACCTTTAGAAATTGCCTGCGTTCTACCTGCACTGATGGATGGCATACAGAGTCATCCCCGCAAACCGTTCTATGGAGTTGGTGAGAAGGTGACCATTTCCTGTTCACGTGGCATGTCCTTAGAAGGTCCTTCAGCATTTCTCTGTGGATCCAGCCTTAAGTGGAGTCCTGATATGAAGAGTGTTCAGTGTGTGCAAAAAGGTGAGTAGCTCATAGGTCTGTCCAAGGACACCTGCACTCAGGTGAGTGAGGGTCCTTGTGACAGTCCTTTATGGCACTGAATGGACATAACTGCGAGTCATTCCCTCCATCCCTGCCCCTCTACAAGAAGGTCAGTTCGTAGACTGGATAACAGACTCTTTTTCACATGGCACAGGTAGACTCATGTGATTCTGAAACTAACTTAAATCCTTCTTACCGAAGATTAGATAAGTTTTGGTGCTAAGAAAATAAAGGATTTTTAAAAAATAATTTCTGGTTTTCTCCAGATTTTTGGAATGTACTTTTATTAAGTACAGAGTTGAGTTGAAGATTTATAAAAAAATCTATGTTTCACTCCTGGGCTTTCAGAGAGTTTATTAGCATTATTGAAATAGAAAATTTAGAAGCATTTACACTTAACACTGCAAAGCAGAAGTTATTGAAAGCAAAGTGTTGTGGTTTGTACGGATGTTCTTAATAGTGGAAATCCAAAAATTCAGTATTTTGAACACCAAGCAAATTAAAATGATCTTTTAAGAAGCTACGGTGAGAAGAGGTTTAGAAAGCCAAACCATTTCTTTTTAGAGGTATTTAAGGTAGGATGGATTTATTTTTAAAATCACCTCCTGTTTCTTCTTTGTTTGCATTTTAAAAAATAAATGGAAAACACATGTTTGTGACAATTAAGAAACAGGAAGGAAGGAAAACGCATTTACATTCCATTTTGTATGGTATTCTTATTTTTCTGGTGAATGACTTTAATCCAATGCTAAAATTTGCCTTTTATGGTGAGGATGAAGTACTAGATTCTGTGAGTGATACCGTCAGGTGAATTCGATGGTCACAGCTAAAGAGAGGGCAGGCTGTACAGAATCCTCTGCAGCTGAAGGTGGACGTGGGCTGTGGTGTTAAACATAGACATTAATTGTCATCAGGAGGCAGCAGGGCCAGCCGGGTGCCCGCCATGCTGGTGCCCATGTGCTCATTAGCTGTCAGAGGTCCACAGCAGAGACAAGTGCTTTGTTTTCTACAGCACTGACACATCAATATGAATTTATCAGGGATATTTGAAGTAATGGACCTGTACCAGGAATTCTAAAATTAAAGAGAACAATGTACACTTGCTGAGGTTGCTCTTTCATTCCAAAGGAGATATTACATACTTGTCTTTCTAAAATGTCTGCTCCAGTCATTTTGTAGCACAATTCGGTATGAATTTTCTCCTACTCAGTAGCAAATTCTATTAAAGTTTCAGTTAAGGATATTTTTCAGGCCTGCGTGTTTTTCAGAAGACATGATGAATAAGAATAGTAACTTCCCTTAAAATAAGCCTATCACAAATAGAAAACTCCAGGTTTGTCAGCCTCCAAGGCTGATGTTTTAAAATAACTGCTATCAGTAGTTAGTCTTTTTATTTTTATTGCAGTAAAACAGACATAACATAACATTTACCATTTTAGCCATTTGTCAATGTACAGTTCAGTGCATTAAGTACATTCCCATTATTGTACAACCATCATCAGCATCCATCTCCAGAGCTTTCTCATCTTCCCAAACTGACACTCCGTGCTCATTAAACACTAACCACTCATTTCTCCCTCCCTCCATCAATATGTAGTCTTGACGTAAAGATATATGAACATAACCAAGCTATATGTTCTTTCTTTTTTTTTTTTTT